GAATTCTCCAGTTTTTCAGACTTTCGAATAACAAAAAGTATATATTATTATACTTCCTTTAGACGATGTTCTCTCACCATTCCTGTTCATCGCTATTAATCTGAACAAAAAACTACCGCTCTACCCTCACCTCTGTTCTAAAGCCATTTTGGAACCCTTACCTTCTATTTTTCACCCTGGTTCTTTTCTTTCGCCAAAAAGGAATCAATTCCCGTCACACCTGACACGGATTTATAATAATTCAACACTATTTTCAAGTAGAAATTTGGCGAACAACGAATTACGGTGAAAAATACACATAAATCGGCAGAGATAATTTTTCAATTAACTTTTATTGCAAGAATAGGTCGGATGAGATCAATATGAATGCAGGTACTTGATAAATAAGATCGCATTGAGTTTATTTATAGGGCTACCGAAATAAACTATAATTATCGCTTAAAATTTGTAAGGAGAAAATTCATAAAAAACAAAAAGGTAACGCACGGATTTTTTTTTTGATTTTTCTCTGATCTCCTGATAGTCAATTCTCTTTATGGATTGTTAGTTTCGAACAGATATCCTCTCACAGTCTAATATTACAACTTTTCGTCTTCAAAGAAATTATCAGTGCGCTGAAAATCGACCGTGTATCTGTTATCGCTCTCCACTTCAGTCAGTTTGCTCGCGCCACTCCCCGTTTCTTCAAATCTTCGTTACGTATCTACCGTAGCAATAATCTATGTGTTAATATTATATTTGAAATGTGCTTAACCAGTTCTATCACACATGCAATATTGACTGACGCCAACATTGTACTTTAATAGGGGTGAACATGGACGGTGGGAGGGCATTGTCGGATCAGAGACCTTTTCTAAAGGAGCTAATAATAATTATAACAGTGGACATATAATTTGTTTTATCAAAGTGAAATACTTGCATCAAGTTATACTTGCGCATTGAGTCGTTCATGCATACCAACATGATGCGACACACCTTTATAAAATAGACTGTAGTTAATTTGTAGTATTATTACTGTGGTGTTCTTATATTTCCAGATCATCACTGATATTACAAAACGATAACATTACTAATTGTTTATGTATATTTTATTACTAAAGGACCACATAACGAATTGTTTATAATATTATATATTTCAGTAAAAGAAACGTAGCAGCTTCTCCTCTTGGTTCAAATGTTCTTATAACTGGACCACCACCTTACAGTACAAAAGGACAGTAACAGAATTTATCTCCAGTTTATATTTTAACGCACCTTCTAGTTATTAGTTATACGTACGCAAATAACGTTTATGAGCGCCGATTTAAATAAATTAAAGAGTTTTCAAGTCTTGCGTTAAAGTAACTAGTGAGTTATTAGGTATTGAGTTATTGATTATTAAGATGTATTATATTCCAATTTATACGGTCTGACTTTTGAATATATTTACCTGATCGAACAAATGCGTAAATACCAAAGTAATTATTAATGGATCATGATGTAGAATTATCAACTTAAATTTGCAATTTTATGTATAATGATTTCGTAATCTATACAGCTGAAAATTTGGTGTCTATGTTTCCTTAAACCTACCTGATCAAAGATACCAAAGTAATTACTAATGGGTCATATTCATATTCATAGAATGATCAATATCTTTAACTCAAAGTTGTAATTATATATCTAATGATCTCATAAACTATAGAGCTGAACAGTTTGTTTCTCCATTTCCTTAAACTTGAAACACAGATACTTGTGATAGTATGATGTTTGATTTTTTTAATATGAAGAAGCTTGATGGTATGGTTAAATGTTGACTATAATCAATTTGTATGGTTTTGGTTTTTGTTTTTAAATAAAGAATAAAAACAATAAAGTCTAAACTGCACGAAAGTCTAAACTGCACATTGATTTATATGAAATTAATCGTCTTTGGGTTCAATTATTGGTTTGGTACGTTACATAACATCAACTTAAATCCAAACGTGAAACGATCAATGTATATATAATATTGAATGTTGTTGTCTGCACAGAGCACACGCATCAATGCTTGTATATCCTTAATATGCCAGTGGAATCTCTTTAGGGTTGGGCACGAAACCAATGTAGATGCGTCTAAACATACTCAATTGACATACAACTGCTACGAAATGTGATGCTATAATATTAACATTTACATATAAATACTAAATTAATTAAAATTAACAAAACTTTTGAATTGAATTATATATACATGTAGTCTTTTTTTTTCAAATAATTATTTTTTTATAAACGTGTATATTCGATAAATGTAATTTTGCTTATTCAATAAATGCTTTATTTTGCTTTTCTGTGCTGATTTATTACTAATGGTAACACAATGAAACATGTCCAAATTTGGCCAAGAAGTGGACAGATAACATTGAAAACCGATAGGGCTCTTCCCCTCATTGTCCCAAAGGCTTAAGATCGAAGATGAAAAATATGTTTAAAAAACCTGCAGGCTCCATAGAGTTTACGATAGCATAACCAAAAAATCTGTTAAAAACTATAGCCTGTATCGCATTCACAATATTTTCGGCAAAGGGGGATAACTCCTGAAATGAAGGTCCGATGCACACCAAAATCATACCAATCCGAGATCATTCGATCCTTAATCCATATTTTAAGTTTCATCTCAAATTGGGTGAACAAATTTCATACACTTTTTATTTTTTTGCGTAAAAGACAGGGGTCATAACCCAATTCTAAATTCGTTTGGCTATTTTCCAATTAGCTATGGCTATGACACCAAACAATAGAATGAGATTAATAAGATCCATACAATCGGTGAATCGTCCGCCCAATCCCCAAACGAGACCTCCTACCTCATAACACAAAACCGGTGATTTGGAAATTAAATTAAATGCCAACTGTCCTAATGAAGATGCGAATACACCATGAAGTGTGCAGTGTGACGGAATTTGCACGGACAGCGGCGCTACGGCCTACTCTTATTTCAAATTCCAACTGCCAAGGGTTCTTTTACGTGCACGCCATTAGAACGACTAGACAGAGTTACTTGTCAGAAACTCCGTTTTGCACCACTGAAAAGGGGAATCCACACCGGAAAACCGGGGGGGGGGGACTTTCCCTTCCAACACCGTGGGCAAACCCGAGACCTACTGGTTACCAAGTCAGGGACTTACTCATCCAACCACCGCGGCTCACGATGATTTGGAAGCTTGACCCGATAGAAAGCTAAACTATAAATGTCAAAAATACTTTAATGAGTTCTTACTATATATTTTATTGTTCTTTTAGAAACAAAATAGGTCAAATCAATCGATATAGCAGTGTTAGAAAATGCACGACAAAGAAGTCTATTTATTATTTTTTTTTAAAAATATCTAGAATAAATTTTATGATTTTTGTCTGTCGAATTATGAAAAAGGCGAGATTTTACATGTCCCCAATCAGCCTCCATACAATTGAAAACAGCACCAGTGTTTACCAAAACGAGCTTGATATGACGCCTGATCGCGTAACATTTCTGAAATGCCAAAATGTTAACGAAACTAAACAGACTACAATAAATTAAAAGTAATAATGGAAATATAATAAAATACAAATTCTAACTGCAATATTTAAAAAATAAGTAATATAAATTAGCATATTTACATGTGTAAATAGCCGATTAACATGCGTTAGTAAAAAGTTACATGCATACGCAATACTAGATTAGGATTTAGAATAAGAGCGAAATTCCGCTCTATAAGATCAGGGGAATTTTAAAACCGTTTTTGTGACAAAACATCATGTTTTTATACGCCCACATTTTCAAATTTGGGGCCAATACGGGTGCAAGGTCATCCTCTATGGCATATTCAGTCTACGTATGACTTCATCTCTCCGCCTCGTGTGTTAGATGGAATAGTATGTGAAAGGGTGACCTACATCAGTAATATGTGAGCAATCGTTTGCATTATGAAAATAAAGCCATAGTTAGTATAGATTACAATTGACTCAGAATCAACAGCTTTTGAATGTAACAATATATTAGACTTTGTAGTTGCGTTGTATGTATTAATTATGATAATGACGAAAGATTTTCGTGTAAGCAGGGATACGTGGGGGCTTCTACATTCATGATTTGACGAATATATCCTTTTCAAGTATTCAATATAGTTAAAGATGGGTTCCCAGAAAAGTATTTATCGGGTGGTTATTTCCAATAAAAGTATGGCAATTTTGGTATATATGGAAAGTAGAGATATCCAATCTTACTAGAAAAATACTGGATTCCCCGAAAAACATTCATGGAGCGTATACAGGACAAAAATGTAAGGGTTCCCCTAATCAACAGCCCGACGATTAGGAACTTCTGCACGCGTGGTGTCAAAGGTCACAAGCGAACATTGAGCGCTTGATGTACAAGTTGATAAACTTTATGAAGAGTTAGACGTACAATACTTTCTGAGATAAAAATGACGGAAAAAGACACGGGTAGTGGATAATCCGAGAATTTAATTAGGATTCGATATTTGTAATAAATAGTAAGCGATTAAAGACAACATCGTCTTATGTATGCAATGAATTCTCCTCTGACTCCCAAGACGTGTCGTAAACGTGACCTGGTTTGATCGAATTTTAATAGCAGGGCATTCCTTCGCAATTACAATGTTTGAGAAGGATTTGAAGCATAATTATGACAAATTAATTAGTTTGAATATGTTTTTGGTCAATATATACCATTAAATCACCCAGTTTGTACGCGGGAACCCATCTTTAAGTATACCCTATATAATAAAGGTTATCAAGAGATTGTATCATATATAACAGATAAGGTCATAGTTATAACTTCTCGGTGGCAAAGTGAAGTTGACACGTTATTCGGGATTCGGTACAAAAACAGACCGGTCTACTTTGTATCCGACCATATCTTCGCTGGCCCCGACCGTAGGGTTAACTGAACGTTGGGTGGCCAACTAGCACGGAGACGACCGCTTGTCAAGCGAGTTGGATGCTGACCTCTCCAGCAATCACCTGTTTTAACAATTAAAATGGGATGTAACGTCTTACTGTTCTGTTCCGATTGGGCTAATGAAGAAAAGCATACGCCATACAGTGTGCTATGATGAGGGAAATTTTCCCCGGGCAGTGGCACTATGGCCTACTCTTATATCGAATTCCAACTGGCAAGGGATATTTTGCGAATGTATACACGGGACCTCGGTTTTTCGTCCCATCCGAACGACTAGATAGCTGTCCTTGCACCACTGACAAGATGAAACTTCCTCGGCCAATGCACTTAGCTACCGTGGCTCCCACAAGTTTTATTGCCAAATCCTAAATTACGATCCAGACCGATAGTATAAAAACAGACCGACCTATCTTACATCCGACCGTTTACTGGCTACGTCCGACCGTAGGGATAAGTAAACGTTGCGTGCACGGGACAGTTGACCGTTTACTGGCTACGTCCGACCGTAGGGATAAGTAAACGTTGCGTGGCCGACTCGCATGGAGACGGCCATTTGTGAAGCGAGTAGGGTGTTGACTCGTTTGTTGGCGTGCACGGGACAGTCCGCTCCCGCATTCACATGTTTATTTCCGACAAACCAGTCAACACCCTACTCGCTTTACAAACGATCGTCTCCGTGTTAATCGGCCACCTAACGTTCACTTACCCCTAAGGTCGGATGCAATGTAGGCCGGTCTATTTTCGTGTCGAATCCCGAATAACGTGCTTGCTCGTTATTCGCGAATCCCCAGGTTGTTATTCGAATCCCGAATAGCGTGCCCACTTCACGTTGCCTAACTTATCACATATTCTGCCCCAGTCGGGCTGATGGAGACAGGCATACGCTATTCAGCTGATCCACTCTGAATATATATATATTTTTTCTAGTAGGCATAACTCCATATGTATAAAATAATTTTGCTTGTATTCTTACAGGTGCGAGTTCGGGTATAGGAAAGGGTATAGCTGTTCATCTTGCTCCATATAAACCCAAACTTGTTTTAGCTGCTAGAGGCACCACGGGTTTAGAGGCTACAAGTAAACAATGTCAAGATGCTGGATTAGCTGCAGATTCTGTAAGTAGCAATTGCAGTAGTAGCAGTGTAATGGCGGTAAATATTGCAGACTAATGACGCAAGTTAATCATTCATACCGATATACCTACATTAAATGCGCCCATAATGCAAATGGACGTAAACTGAAAACATGGCCAACCCACCAGGTCAAATGTATTAATACTTTTGTTTTTAAAACTTTTAAGATTGCCTGGATAGTCATAATGTGCAAACTTATCGAAATTTAAAATCGGGGATTACTATTCCGAAGAGTATTTGGCTTATCACTTAAATCTCCCAAATACTCTGCTAGTCAGAGTTCTAAAAGAAGAAATATTTACATTTGGAATGTTATAAATTTCAGAATATGCTTATATATTTTATGTTCATGCTGATTTCCTCATATAGTCGGGCTCATGGCGCTACCTAAAATGATCAGTGCAAACCTTTTGAAATTTAAAATCGGGCATCAATTTTTCGAAGAGTATCTGCCGAAATCTTATAAAAATTTTAGAAGAAGAAAAGAAATTCACATTTGGAATTCTATATAGTTCAGAATGATGCTAATATATTTTATATATTTCTAGATTCTGATAGTACAATGTGATGTAAGTAAAGATGATAATCTAGAGAATTTAGTTGATACAACAATAAAAACATTTGGTTCTATTTATGGATTGGTAAGCACAATTTATTCTCTTGTTTGGTATAATACACCCATATTGATGTGTGTGTGTGTCGTCACATTATGACATCACGCTGTTGGTCCGTCCGTCAATGATTCATTTAAAGGCTAGAGATTTTACACGCTTACAGTTTCACAGGGACCGTTTATGTAGTTGTCCCCAGCCTGTCCGTCAATATTTCCGGACAACCGTATCGTATTTGGTTGTGGACTTATATTCAGTATGTTTATCCAACGAAACTTGTTAAGCCCCCCCCCCCCTTTCCCTTTATGGAAATAGTGGCAAAGCAGTGATAGATATACCACGCTTGTGGGACCTCTAACATAACTGATAAGGATCAGACGATCTTGAAGGAGTTCGATTTTGATATGCGTCAACAAGATTGACTGATATAGTTGATGATTTTAATGCGGCCTTGATTCTCCATGAGTCACAGAGAACTGTTGGGTCAGACTTTTCCGATATTCACCCAACGTTATTATTCTCAAATTATATTACGGTTCCGCTTTGCGGAACTTCGGTCAGTTAGTAAATATCTGTCTTGCAGGTTAATAATGCTGGGTATGCTGTAATAGGAAATATTGAGCAAACGGACATGAAAGATTACGATGGAATTATGAGAGTCAATATTAGAGCTCCATTTTATTTGTCAAAATTATGTATACCCCATCTAAAAACAAGCAAAGGTAAGGCCCCATTAGTAGACGTAACTATTTCAATTCTGCATTGGTTCCTTCAGGCAGGAAGCTCACTGAATCTCAAGATTCCGTGTAATACCATTCGCAGAAGCTTAACCCCGATAATTAGACATGAAATGAAATGGGGTTTAACGTTTTACTATTTTACTCATACTGGGCTAATGAAGACGGGTATACGCCATGCAGTGTGCTATGGGGGCAATTTTGCACGGACAGCGGAGCAACGGTCTACTCTTTTTTCGAATTCCAACTGACGAGGGTTATAAGAGGCGGTTAATTCCGGATCAAATTTCCATCATGACACACTGCATGGCACAGACATAAAATGATTGCCGTTGTAATTAAAATGGTATTTGACTTCGAACTTCCAATCGCATCATTTTCAAAGTGAAGTAAAGCGTGTGGGGAAATGTTGATTGTTAAATCACCTGTAATGTACGTATCGTGATCTTGAGGCACATGACTATTGTACAACACAATTCGAAACATGAAGTGTTTATTTAACATAATATTCAAAATACGAATTAAAAGTTATGCGATGTAAATATGGAATCCAGATGTCCAAAATTGAAGACATGGTGAACACTTTATGATCAGTATACGATTCCTCTAGTCTATGGTTTCGAGCTACATTTGTAATGAACACAAAAACATTACACAAGACAATGCGGAATTAAATGATAATGGCTGATTAAGATTCACAACGACGCAATAATAATAAAACAAAAAACTCGAAGAGTGGAATAACCAGACGCCCAACACTGCCATTTCAATTTGGACTGATTAGAAATTACAGTAACAACAGAAACGATTGAATGTAAATCAGCTTATATACATGCATAATTACATTATGCCAAAGAATAGCGATTTATCTCCTTTATCTGTTCTTTTATAAACATCTTCGTTTATTTTAATATTCAAAATAATAGAGTTGCACGCCCTTTAAATGAATATAATGCAATACATGAAATTCTACTTTCAGGTTGTGTGATCAACGTGTCCAGTATCGCCTCAAAGACAGGGGTAAGATGGCCGTGTTTCCTCTCTTTGTTATTATAGAGAGATGGAATCGGGTCGACTTATGATCAATAGGGGAGAGCCGTTTCCGGGGCAGAACTCCATTTACATGAAAACAAAGGATATCCCCTGGAACAAATATGTTGCATCAGGTTATTCCCAGAGCAGAAATAATCAATTTTATGCATGCAGTTTGCTGTGGTATCGAACCGAATGTCCCCGTGGTTGTTCCTTTGTTTTACCTAGTGTCATGTCAAGTATTATTCATGTAATTTATCCCAATTCTGTAACAGGTCAACCCAAGTGAATTTTGGACCTATGGTATTTTATGTGGCTACAACGAAATGCGGTCCGCGTTCCATGTGTCTGTCGTTCACAATTTCTTGTGATCACCACATAGACTACATTAATCATCCGAAGTTCATTTATGTTTACATCAGTGCGATTAACTTTCTAGCCATACCAGTTATTGTCCGACCTGCTTGAAATTCGCGAAGACGTCTGCCACAATGTTCAACAATTTCAATTTCGGTTAGTTCTAGAAATATAACCAGCGGTTATTTATCAAATCTGCTTAAAGCCGCGGTAATATCTTACGGTTACGCAGGTAGTTGACCTTAGTGGGGGATAAACCTGGTTTGCCGTAACAGACTGTAGTTGACCTTTATAAAACGTTGACACGTATGATTTGACCGTTATTAGTCCTAACATTTTAAACATGTTCAATACATATCCTAAGTTGATCTTGAATTCCAAGGCCATAACTGTTTGAACGTACTTGACCGTAGCAACATGACACGACGCTTAACACTGCTTCGAACCGACTTCAGCGTAGCTGACCTTAATGACACTACAGTAAGCTACCTGTAGGACTGTAAGATATGACCGCGACCTTAAATGTATGTTCTTTGTTTCATTTATAACGACAATCTGATTAAAACACAGATCCTATTTCGTTTCGTTTCTTTATAGTTATAGTTCAAAATTTCGTTTTATTTGTCTGTACTACACTAGGATCTGGAAGAGTTGTGTTCTTATGGCGTGAGGCATTAGCCAATGAAACCATCTGTTACGCCGACTTCTAGTAAGTAAACCTCTAGAAACGTCAACGCTGATTGATTAATCAATGTCGGGCGTCATAGGGTCAAAAGCCGATCGTACGACATCTGACGCGACCTTTTACTACAAGCGGTCAGATCTTCATGTAGTGTAGGCCATCGGACATATGAAAAACGAAACGAAATATAGATCTGTATTTTAATAAGATTGTTATGACGATGAATACAAAATTTAACAGTTTCTGATAATTTTTATCCTTGGGTATGTCATGGATTTACAGTTTTGTTGCTTGGCAACTTACCTTTTATTTTCTTAAAGTAAAGCTACGTTGCATTTTAGCATGAAATCAGAAGCTAATACAGAGTAATGATGTGTTTCATATGTCATTTTTAGGCAGCTGAAGTATCAGCCTACTGTCTTAGTAAAGCTGCCCTAGACCATTTTACGCATCTACTGGCTGCAGGTAAAAGTTAAATTAATACATATTAACAGGATTTGTCATTTGCAAGACACGTTCCTATTAATAACCTTAATCATTTACTGTTATGTAGTGACAGAGGCAGAATGGCTTACCCAATTAAATCAGAAACGTAAAGTGATAGAAATAATTATATCTATTTTTTCACTGACATTAAATCCGTGACTGTGAACCTATGGGGGCAATGTTTTAATTGAGGGATCAGTAAGTAAACAGATATGGATTAGGGAAACCACGTACGATGCCAGGGCCTATAATATAGATCCCTTTGATCGGGTGATTGTCACATGTCCGTTGGGCTTTGTGGGGTTAAAACGATTATGGTCATCAGAGAGTTAATATAATATTACAGGCCAAGGAATGGCATGGATACATCACGAGGATACAATTACTAGTCGGATACCTTATATCGTATTTGTGAGTTATTTCCTTTGCTGTAACACAACTATTGATCAGTAAATTGTATCTATCTTTTTCAACCAGCTACCTTACAAATTGTATCTCTGTTCAGAACTGGCTACATTATAAATTGTATTTTTGATTTTGAAACAGAAACGGGACCATCTGGTGTCAGGGTAAACAGTGTCAAGTTAGTATTATTTACTTATACATAAATCTAAGGTTAAAGAATTTAATTCGTTGTAAATTACACGAAAGGAATATCAGTTCAAAACTTCTCTAAATATTGACAAAGATTAATTGGATATTGTCAGTTTTCGGCATACTTTTCAATCTGATTAACCAACAGATCCGTGCACCACAAGCCAAGCACTCACCGCAGTAGATATTTGGACACTGAAGCAATAAATAATGACAACTTACATAATAGAGATGAAATGAAATTGGGTTTAAAGGGGAAGACCAACGATTGTCAACAAGGTTTCCATCAATCTTAAAGGCTCAATACAACTCTTGTTGTAACTGAATAATATGTCCCAATCTTTATTCTGGTCAACAAATTGCACTATTTTACAATATTCCAATTCATTGATGATACAAATTTCATCTTAACACACCTTATTTAAAAAATTGGAAAAATTCAACTAAATGATTTGAAAAGCCTGACGTAAAGCTTTTCAAATGTGACTTGGATTTAAAAATGTTTTTGGACCCTCTGGACAAGTAAAATAGGATTGAATGGATAATTTACACAACAGGTAGGACACTAACACATCTAGTACTTAGAATAAGGCTATTTTTTTATTTTATGGAGCTGTCAAACCAGCAAGAATGTTATTGTCCCTTTAATTTAAATTTAATTTTAAAAAAAATTGGAAAAATTCAACTAAATGATTTGAAAAGCCTGACGTAAAGCTTTTCAAATGTGACTTGGATTTAAAAATATTTTTGGAATTTCTGGACAAGTAAAATAGGATTGAATGGATAATTTACACAACAGGTAGGACACTAACACATCTAGTACTTAGAATAAGGCTATTTTTTATTTTATGGAGCTGTCAAACCAGCAAGAATGTTATTGTCCCTTTAATTATATATTGATAAATAATTCCATCTGTAACACAAGCAAAAAAGTTTTTGTAAGCGAGAAATTAATTTTTATTAAACTGGAAGTGACATAGTTGGTTAAACACGGTCACTGTATGTAAGCATACAGATTTGTCATAAGTTTACTGCCATATTGTGTTCACGCGTCGTCCTTTGGCCAAAAATCGGATCAAATGGGTTGTATATTAGGATATTATAAACACGAATTTATGGGTTTTTTGACGTTTAGTACACAAAGCCGTCCCGTAAATTCACTCATACATGAACTGTACGATGTGCCTCAATTCACGCCACATGGCTAATTGTTTACATCACGTGGTTTGTTTACAAAAAAACTTTTTTGCTTTTGCTACAGAGGGGAATATTTATCAATATTTATTTAAGGTTTATGGAAACCGTGTTGAAAATCGTTGGTCTCCCCCTTTAACGTCCTACTGTTCTGCTGAGAACTGGGCTATTGAAGACGGTCATACGCCATACAGTTGTGCTGTGAGGCAAATTTTGCCCGGACAGCAACACGGGACCTCGGTTTTTAAACCCATCCGAACGACTAGACCTTTGTCCTTGTCACCGACAAGGGGGAACCACATCGGAAAATCTGGATGATCTCTCTCTCTCTCTCTCTGCCAATGCAGGGATCGAACACCCGACTTCCAGGCTAGCGAGCCAGAGCCTTACTCACTTAGCTTGGACAGGCGACCCTATTCCTGGTCACGTACAACCGCGGAATCCAAACCACGCCAGTTGAACCATCTGATACAGCGTGCGCGCGCTAACCATTCGGCTATCCACCCCTCCAGTTACATAATAGGTGGTTATACAAACAGTTAACCTGGCCTAACCAGTGATGTCGTGATCCCGAGGATGGGATATGTTTCGTAGCCTTGAACAAATGCTTTTGCATGTCGCCTACTAGATAATAATTAGATAGCAATGTGTAAAATATACCATTCTGATGAGGGCAATGAATGGATGAATGGATGATATAGAGATTTACTTTCTACCCGTCTGCACCTACCGGATCAATGAAGACAGGCATACGATGATACGCCATGCCATACAGTATGCCATAAAGGGTCATTTGGTCTGGACAGCAAATTGAATTGTTTCCCCCATCAAAACTGTAAAGAGCCATCCCTGTCTGGTCAACCCTCATGTGTCACCGACAAGGGGGTCACCATCGTTCCTGGTCAACATAGGGATCGAACCCAGAGCTTTGGGTTAGTAAACCAGCTCCTTACCCACGGAGCCATTGAATAATGGTCATTATTGTATATTTTCAGTCCTGGTTACATCAGAACACCAGCTCACCAAAAGGCAGGAGTTTCAGAAAAACAAATAGCGGAGGTAGGTATAAATTGCTGATTGAATACACATAATTATACTGTTCATGGAATGTAGCAATACGAAATATATTTCTAGGTCCATGTTATTTCCGTAAGAGAGAGAGAGAGGTGGGTTAACGTCCGCTCGACACAAACTAGGTCATTTCGGGACTAACATGGTTTAATTTTTTTCAATAATTTGCTTGCGCGTAGGGGTTTATAGCAGTGGGAAGAAACTGGAGAATTCGGAGGAAATCCACGAGGTTGGACAGGCGAAACTACTACTTATAACGTACAACCGGAGAATCGAAATCACGCCAGTTGACTCGATGACAAACCTTATGATACAGCGCACATATGCTAATCATTCGGCCATCCAACCCCCTGTTTCCGTAAGAACATACTGTATCAAATAAATAATTGTAATCATAAAATATGAAATGGCATATTAGATAATATGCACCTATCAAACTGATCCGTCGTAATATAATAATAATAATCTATTTATAAAGCGCTGAATATCCAACAAACTGGTTGCTCAAGAGCGCTATCTACATAAGACATATTTAAAAAGATGAAAAATAACCATGATACGATAAACATTTAAACACAAGGAATGAACAAAATAAATGTACAAACTGGTAAAATTACCATAAACAAAATAGTTATTAGCACTAAGGGTAAACAGATTTAAAGAGTTCAGTCTTTAGAGATTTCTTAAAAGATGTATGTTTTTAGAGTCTTAAGTCTTTTTTGATAGCCTATTCCATAATGTTGGGCCACTATGGTAGGGTGACCCACCATAAATAAATATCTCCATATATCTCGACAATTACGCCACAATATTTATATATATGCCAAGCCTCAAATCAGTTTCACACAATTATAGTCACTAAATAAACGATCATGTTGCACTTTATAAGCTATGACCATTAATCATGTATAAATAATAGACTGAAAACTGGTTCCAAGAGTCGTCCATAACATCCAGACACTTTTGAGTAAGAGAGGTTACGTGCCCTTGTTTTGAAATTAGTCTCGCTTAACCAGTCTATCGACCATTCTACGTCTGAGTGACAGGTCGGGATAATCAAGACTACTTTTTTACGAAACATAACAGAAAGCTAGAACAAGAAATTGAATTTAGAAATAAGCACGTTAGGTAGCTCAATAATCGTTTTAAGAAGCTTGTAAAAGTAAAATGAAACTACTGCTAGTATCATGTTCCTGTCTAACCCGAGTGATTCAGAGATATTATTTGTACTAAACCAAAAGATGCCGCTCTTAACGGTACAGTTAATGATAAAGCGATTTAAAAAATGAAACGAACGTAATTTCTAAATCTGCTGTAATAACCAAGAAGCTTAATTTTACTGCTATTCAAAATCGTCAACAATAATTTTTTTACGGCTGGAATAGTTGATAGATTTGTAGAGAATTGCACGTGCCATGGCTATTTATAGTATCATACTGTCAGAAAGTTGGTCTCGGCACGGCGAATGTGCACGCTTCAGTGGTAGTCTCGAACTATCAGCGGTGGACTGTATTTCTGTGAGTACATGGGTCACCCTAACTATGGGCGAAAGTTCTTTCACCACTTTTAGTTTTCACTAGAGGACATACGAGAAGGTTCTCATTCTGTGAGCGAAGTGAACGGGTGTAGGAGAGTCCATATTATTCAGTGTATTAAATGTAATAACATTTATCTTAAATATTATCCTTGCTCTAACCGAGAGCCAGTGTAGCTGTTTTAGCACAGGAGAAATATGTTCACGTGGTTTTGTTTCAGTTACGACCCGAGCTGCTCGGTTTTGGAGCTTTTGTAGTTTGTTGATTTGTAAAGCAGGTAAATTGGACAGAAGAGAGTTACAGTAATCCAAGTTCGATAAAACAAAGGCATTAACCAACATTTTAGCAGTGTCGATGTCAATAAATGGACGTAGTTTTCCAATATTATATAAATGGAAATTTATTTTCTTGCATGTCAAGTTAATATGAGTGTTGAATTGAAAGTTACTGTCAAATACGACTCCTAAATTCTTTACAGATTCAGTTGGTTTTACTTTAACATCACCAATAGAAATATGATCAAAATTTTATTTTTGCCTATGTGTATGACTTTTGTTTTTTCGTCATTCAACTTTAGAAAATTACATTTTATCCAA